CCGCGTACTCATCAGGGGCGTTCTCTTGCGCCGGCCCCGCTGATACGTCTCTGGAAGTAGGCCACTTATAGACACGGAATCGATCAAATCCTTCTCAACTTTGCGGGGCTAGCTGCGGGCAGTTCGGTTCTCGCCGGGAAACCTGATGTGCGATTCTCTCTCCTTCCTTGCGGGGGATGCCCTAATGCCGCAACCCTCCAAAAAGTTCCCGTGGGGGGAGGGGGAGCCCCCCGGGGAGGGGGCCCGGCCCCCAAACCGCCGGACCCTCGGCCAAAAGCCCAAGTTTTTTCCCTCCCCGTCTCAGGCCCGAGTTTCACCCTGGGGACCCAGGAGTCCTGGGAGAACAATGGGGGGGCCGTATGGGGCGGGAAAAACCCCCCGGGTGAGCGAGCGGGTACTCTCGGGCTGCGCTGCTGAGTGCGAATGCGAGAGGCGCTCGGTCCCCCGCCTCCCTCGCCTCCTCCCCCTCTTCCTCCTCCTCCCAGGTCTCCTCCTCCTCCCTCAAGCACACTCCGTCTCCCAGGCCACAGCATAGCAACCGAACATGGCGGCTGCGCAGACGCCGCCACTCAGCGCCCCGGAGCAGCGGCGGCAGCGGCACCAGGCGGTCTCGCGAGAGGTGAGGCCAAACCCCTTTCCCTCTAGCGCAGGAGGGAGCGGTGGCACAGCCAGTGCGCCGGCGGACACGCAGGTGCGAAGGAGGCCGGACCTGTGTAGGTCGGGGAGGGTGATTGGGGAAGGGGGCGGGGCGCTGTGGCTCCGCCCCTTGGCCCCGCAGCGATTGGTTATTAGAACATCGACACCCCCCCCTGCTGTGCCTACTGACCCTGGGGACCGGTCGGAGGGGCTTGAAACCCAAGTTTTAAAGGGGAAAAATCAGACCTTTTGGCCCACGTCCTCACAACTGAAGTGCTAACAGAGGATATAGGTTTAGAATGCAGTTTAGAATCATTTCCTATCCTAAATATAGTCTCTAAAACAAAGAATAAACGTTCATTTATGAAACATGTTTGGGTGTCTTCTATGTGACAGGATCGTGTGCTTTTAAAAAATGAATTAATTAACTCCAATAACACATATGAATTTGGTGTTATCTCTCCAGGATTTTTCCCCCAGGTGCATTAGAATATTTTATTGAAAATACAAACATCGGTGATAAGACAGATGCAGATACCTACGGGCTAGGTGATCTCAGCTGAAATGCTGCGAGGAGAGATTTGGGAACCTTCACACTTCTTTGCCTTCATTTCTTTTGTCAGTGCACTTGTCGGTAGCCTGGCGCCTTTTGCTCGTCCTGCTCTTAGCTTCAGCTCCTCACAGAGCTAGCCTTCCTACAAGCATTCTTTCAACATGCTCCCTCAAAGCCAACACAATGCCTGTTTACTAATCAGCTATGGTTTTCTCAAGATACAATCTTGCAAATCTGTGAAAGACCGTGATTACTATTGACCCTCTTCTCCCTCGCACCTCCCTTCAGTTTTTCCATTTTAAAAAGACAACTTGTCAGTCCATATTTTTCCTGCTTTATCTCTTCTCACTTTCCTTCCCAGAGCTTAGTTCCAGCCTGTGCTCATTCATTCTTCCTTAAATATGCTTTTCTTGCTCTAGCTCTCTGTTTTCTATACCTTTGTTCATACTATTCCCTCCACTAAAATGCTTTTCACTTCATCTCCACCTATCAACATTAAATCATCAGGTTACATAGGACTTCCAGCAGAAGTAGAAAGTAATTTCTTCCTCCTTTCACATTGATAGTTCCAGGTTTATACCTCCCTTTTTCTTGTGGTGCACATATTACTATATGATACTTATCTCTGTGTGACTCATCTCCATTACTACATAGTAAGATACTTGAGGGCAAGGACCTAGTCTTAGTTATCTTTCTATCCCCTATAATGCCTGGTGACACTGCCGGATGCCAAAAATGTTTGTTGACATAATGATATGCTTAAATCTCTAATTGGTGGGGTTTCAGGAAGGTACCTGGGACAGAGCAGGCTCTTCCTGAGGTTGGTTGCTGTGTCTCTGGGTGGTCCTGGTCTGGTCTAGCTACGTCCTTGTTGATGCCTTGTAGAGCCTTGTAGCTAGCCCCCCAACTAATCCTCCCATCTGCAGACCTTCCCTCTCCAGCCCATTCCTCCCACCCCACCCGTAAATCACTGTGACCTTTTATACAAATGTGAATCTGAGTTGTAATATAAATAGAGCTGTAGTCTCAACAACCTTTGTTTTGGGAAACTCCACAGGGTGAACCCTTTAGATAAATAAATGTAATTCTCATATCCGTTTCCTATTCTTTAGGAAAACTGTGAAGTCAGCTTTTAAAATTTGAGATATAATTCACACATAAAAATTCACCCATTTCAAGTGTACCACTCAATGCTTTATAGTATATTTACAAAGTTGTGCAGCCACCACCATACCTATTTCCAGAACATTTTCATCGGGAAAATGAAATCCATACCTATTAGCTGTCATTCTCCATCCCCGCCGCCGCCTAGCTCCTGACAACCACTAATTTACCTTTTGTCTCTATGGACTTGCCTACTCTGGATATTTTATATAAATGAAATCATATTTATTGCAAATCATCTATGTAAATTTTGCTCTTATTTTAAATGATAATTTTAAAAATTAATGTATGCCTATTCTGGATCATTTTGATGACCACCTTATAATCAGTCAAATACTGCCACTTGATTTTGTATTTGGCACCAAAAACTATAACTTTAATTTCCTTGAGCTAATGAGAAAAGAATATTCTTGTGGAGATGACAAGTGTTCTGGCTAAGTGAAGGTCAAGTGTCCTCATGGCACATTGTACAAAAGTTTCACAGAAATTCAAATAGAGAAGAATATTGGGATAACTGAGTTGATTATAAGCATGCTTTTAAAAGCCTGTACAATAAGCAGTGAGTTCCATATTTTCATTGCAAAGGATGATTTAATTTCAGCAAAACAACATCATCAACTACATTACATAATAATGTTAATTGAATTTTTTAATTTGTCAATTTAATTTGCAATATTTTTTAGTTTTATAGAAGTACAATTGCTGTGAAAATAAGGACTTTATACATATCTTATGTTTACACTTAATTAGGAAACATAATTTAAATAATTTAATTTCACATTCAAGAGTAAGCAAGACTTTTTTTTTTTTCTTAAGTGGCCTCAAACACTACTAGATATTGGCAAACACTGCTATTGACTGAATTTTTTCCCCTTGTCTGCAGCCTGCCTCTGGCTCTGCTTTGGGAGAATAAGAGCAAGGTTGTGTCCACACTTGTAGGATGTTGGCAGGGAAAGATTGGTGTTTCTACACTGTGTGGTTGACATTAGGGCCTTTCCTAACCCTGGGTAGCTACAGCCAAGAGGGAATAGACATTTGTTTTTGCCTGTGAAGCCTACCCAGGCTTCCTGGGCCTTGGCAGTGAATTCTGGCAGCCACAGGCAGCAAAGACAGCTTTGACCAGGCACAGTGGCTGACTGACCAACCCCATTCCCCATGCCCCCACCCCCATCAGCAACTTGGGAGGATCCTTTGGAAGAAATGACTAACCCTTGGGTTACTGGGGATATCTAGGGAGAAGACCCCCAAGGGAAAGCTGGTCTCACCTTGCTAGAACTTAGAGTGTTGTGAATTTTAACATTAAAAAACACATGCCTTAAAGTGACTTGAATTTTTTTCCTAAACTGGTGAGGCGGTACGTACAAGGTACACAGCCTTTCAAACACCTCTCTGACACATGACTTTAATTAGATATCCATCTGCCTTAGCTGCACAATTAAGGGGAAATTTATCTTTTTACCTGTCTGGAATCTTCAGGCATAACTTAAAGCAAAGTGAAGCAAACAAATGTAAACAGTTTATACCTTTAAACAGGTGTCATACATTTTCCCAACAAGTTCAGAATTCTGTGGCTTGGGCTTCCTCTAATCATAGAGCCAATTTATACCAGTACATACTTACTAGTATATATGTATTTACATATATATATATATTTTTTTTTTTAATTAGCTAGTATATAGCCTCTGGTGCAGTTGGCCCAGATTTGCTCACTCTGTCAACATGGCCCCTCCCTCTTCTTGCCCCCTTCATTTGCTAGCAATTCCTTCCTTCCTTCCTTCCTTCCTTCCTTCCTTCCTTCCTTCCTTCCTTCCTTCCTTCCTTCCTTCCTTGCTGTAGCAGCAGAAGACCCAAATTAGCAATCCCTGGAATCAAGAATTATACAGAAAAATGTAAAAATTTTAAAATCAAAGACTTCTTCTTACTCCCAGTTTCACTCCCCAAAAGGTAAGCACTATTAGCAACTTCTTATATATACCTCCGGACTTGTATTCTATGTAAAATAAATGTATTTTTTCACTACATACAAGGGATTATACCACATGTACTATATTTCACTTACAAATCTCCTTTACAGAGCACATATATGTCATACTTTCTAAGGGTTGTACCATAATATATTTAATCTTCTATAATAAATGAGCATTTAGGCAATTTCCAGTTCTTTGCCATTACATGCAATGCCTGTAAAGAACATTTTCATCATAAAGCTTTGTACACATGACTAAGAATGTATCTAAGATAAATTCCTGTAAAGGCAGTTGCTGGGTTGAAGTGTATGGGCACGTTTAATTTTGATAAATGTTGCCAAATCAACTACCAATTGCATCCACCAACTATGTGTAAGTTACTATCATCCACTTCTTCCTCATCATTTCTGGGTTTTATATCTTTCTCAATTAAAAAACAGCAACCGTATTTCTTCTAATATTTTTAGATGATCTTTTAAATACTTAATCTTGACCCATCTGAAAATAATTCTGGTATAAAATGATAGGGATCCAGCTTTATTACTTTTATTATTAACTATCCAGTTGTCCATTA